AGAAGTGAGTTGGGGGAAAGTGAAGAGGGAGAGGAACCATGAGAGACTGTGGGCTCTCAGAAACAACCTGAGGGTTTTTGAGGAGAGGGGGATACGGGGTTGGGTAAGTCTGGTGGTGGGTATTAAGGAGGGCACGTATTGCATGGAGCACTGGGTGTGGTACATAAACAAATGAACCTTGGAACACTGAAAAAATAAAATAAAATTACAAAAAAAAAAAAAGAGTCTGACTTTTGGTTTCAGCTCATGTCATGATCACAGGATCATGAGAAAGAACCCCATGTCAGGCTCTGCCCTGGGCTGAGAGCCCACTAAAAATTCCCACTCCCTCTGCCCCTTCCCCTGCTTGCGCATGCTTGCTCACCCTCTCTCAATAATAACAACAATAATAATACTGGCTTATCATTTTATTACTTGGTAAAATGTTAAATCATAAAAATGTATTAACTTGTAAATACATTTGATACTTACATTTTAATTGATCCCTCACTTAACGTAAGTTATTTGTTAAATTTTATTTTTTTTTTTTGTATTACATAACAAAAACTGTCCTATACCAAGAGTCCAAATGCTTAATTTCAGCCAACTATATCTCCATTCTCCATCCACCCCCCCAAACCCCCACCAAGCAATGAACTGTATAAACGGGAATTGTGTTTCTCCCTCTTGGGTTAATCTAATAGGTTAAATGATAAAATAACTTAAAACTTAGGGGAAAGGGAGGGGGGAAAGGAAAAAAAAAAAGGTGTCTTGGAGCTTATAATCTAGATCAGGGGTTGACCTGTTTCTGTGAATGCAGTTCTGGAACACAGCCATACCTATATTATCTAGGGCTGTTTTTGCTGCAATGGCAGAGATGAGTATTGAGACAGAAACAACAAATGCAGCTGACTCTTTTACAGAAAAAAAATGCCAAACACTGAACTAGACAATCAATACTGAAAAGTAAACAAATTCCCAATAAGTCAAAATGTTTTCATGTATAGTAAGATTTATACTTACTCCTGTCAGATCTAGATGACTCTTATATTGGTTCTGCTGGGAGTTGGTCCATTGCACCACTTGGCTTCCATTCCCAGTACTACTATCCTGGTCTAACCCACCATCTCTACCCCACTGGATTCCTGCAAATGTCTCTCATTTGATCTTGCTGTCTCATTCAAGTCACTACAGTCTATCCTCAAACACAGCAGTCAGATCAGTCCTTTAAAAACTTGTCATGTCGGGGGCGCTTGGGTGGCTCAGTGGGTTAAGCCTCTGCCTTCAGCTCAGGTCATGATCTCAGGTTCCTGGGATTGAGCCCCTCTGGCTCTCTGCTCAGCAGGGAGCCTGCTTCCCCCCCTCTCTCTGCCTGCCTCCCTGCCTACTTGTGATCCGTCAAATAAATTAAAAAAGTCTTAAAAAACAAACAAACAAACAAACAAACTTGTCATGTTGTTTCTCTTCTCTGCTCCAAACCTTGCAATGACCTCTCATTTCATTCAGAATAAATGCCAAAGTCCTTACCATGGCCTATAAGGCTTTACTGGCCATTGTATGAAAATTATTTCTTACATCATCTTTTATTACTCTCCCCTTCTCTCATTCCCTTTACAGCTGAACTAGTTTCCTTCCTGGTCTTTGAATAAAAAGCCAGGAATACTCTCCATCAAGTCTTTTATAATGGCTATTCTCTTTGCCTGGAACACTCTTCAGATATAAGTGCATAACTAACTCAGTTGCTTCCAGTGTTTGCTCAAATCTCATCTTAAAATAAGGCCTAGCCATGCCACCCCATTCCACAATTCCCTATTTCTTTACCTTCTATTACATGTACTTCATTTGTGCTATGCTTATTGTTTGTCTGCCTTCCCATCCTAACCTGCAGAGGCCTGAACACTGCTGTAGTCTGTGGGAAAAAGGGCAAGGAGAATAAACGGTGTTTCTGAATAAGAGGTAGAAAATATACACTTTTCTTAAAAAATGATCATAGGCAACTGAACAGGAGAAAAGGAGGCAGGGCTAGAGACTCAATTTCCAAGTTAGAAAATAACAACTGAGTTGTTAAGTGACTGCCTTCAGCTCAGGTCATGATCCCAGGGTCCTGGAACCCAGCCCTGCATTGGGCTCCCTGCTCAGAGAGAAGTCTGCTTCTCCCTCTCCCATTCCCCTTGCTTGTGTTTCCTCTCTCACTGTGTCTCCGTCAAGTAAACAAATAAAATCTTAAAAAAAAAAAAAAAGGAAAAGAAAATAACAACTGCAAATCTTTAAATTATGTGACTTACGGTTTTCCAAGGAGAAACTGGCAACCCCCCTCCCCCTACAAAACCCCACAAAAAAACCCAAAAAACCCAAACCAAAATCCCACAAAATCCCATTTTTTCCCCCAAAGAAAAAGGAATTATAGAATGGAATTATCTAAAACTGCCAAATGAATTAAAACAACTATGTGCCACTTCTGTGGCTTACTGATTTCACGTATTATCTGACATTGTTAAATCAATTAAGAAAAAAAAAAACAATTCTGTGCTGCAGCAACTCCTGCAGCTTGTTCTAATGTATCAAAAAATTTTGAATGTGATCAATATAGGTTCATAAATGGACTATGCCTAAACATAATTTTACAAATATTTACCCTAAACATCTCACGCTTTTAAATCGCTTCCAAAAAACTCGTAAGAATACAGTTGTCAGAGCAGTTACAGACTAGGAAATAGGGCCAAAGTTGGTGTCACATTACAAATGCTGTAAGGCAAGTGCGGCAAAGCAGTGTCTTGTGCCTAGTCTCACAACCCGAAATGACTGCTGAAGCAATCTTCAGCAATGATTTCTGCCTCTCAATGAATACAACAGTTAACATCGCAAAACCAGTAACAACCTTCCTCTCAGAGATGGTAAATTAAAAATACAAATTCGGTTGCCTGAAAATCCTGATCAAGGTAAAACCCTGAAGAATTATATATCCACAATATAAACATACTCTAAAAAGAAAAAAAAATTCTTTATTTTTAAATGGCAGTGACTGAATGAATCTTATTAAGGAACTTCCTGGCCCAGCATTCTCTAATGTCATTATAAAGTTGTATTTTAGATAATAATTATCATGTATCCTCGATGCTTCAATAAAAAATTAAGTAAACAAATAATGATTATTCATCAAATAATTTCTTGTAATTATCAGGTCATGGCTAGAGAGTGATCTTTGGCTTAGCTTACATTTAAACGCTTTTTAAATTAAGTCTCAAGAACTTCCATTATCTGAGTGTTTACCGTATGTCAGATATCGTGCTAAGTGCCTCCATGGGTTTACATGCCTTCAATCCTCACAACGACCCTGTAAGGTTGACACTACTATTATCTGCATTTTACAGAGAAGGAAACTGAGGCTTAACTAAATTAAATAACTTGAATCTGGGACCAAAGCACACCTGTTCCAAAGCCTTCTCTTAACCACTATTAGAACTGCCTCTGAATTCTCCTGGAATCTCCATCTCAGTATTGACATAAACAAGGCCGAATACTATCTTATTCTATGTTGTAAATGCTTAATTAATCCTAATTAATTACAGAGGAAGTAAAATTTTTCTTAATCCTTCACAGCCTTGTATACTTCTGGGCTGTTCATTATTAGGATAAATTAAGTCAAAGTGGAAAGCAAGCTTTAAAATCTGCAAATGCAGGAGACCAAGATTTCAGAAAATATTACTTCAGTGATGTAATTAAAATGAGTAAAAAGAGCCAAACTAATTACATGTTAAGGTTTGGAAACTCAAAGGAATAAAGTGAAAACAGAGCTGCATTAGGAACTGGGAGACTTGTAATTCACTCCCATTCTTTCAATTTGCCCAACTCTGGCCTGTTTATGGCCCCACCACTCATTTTCCTCATCTGCAAAACAAGAGTGATCGGCTAAATAAGCTGACTGTAAAACATTATATGAGACTAATTTTACCAGCTCTTAAATGAGGCATATGTGGGAGAGAGGAAGGGGTTTACATAAACCCTGCATTTTTGTTACAAAATACACACTATGAGATAGGAACTTGGATTTACTATGCTAAAATTCCCCCAAATCCTTTGAGAACAGGTATTTACTAAAAAATTGATTTAATAATAAGAATGAAATGCTATTATTTACCGGCCTGTGATGTTTTACATACTTACATTACCAATCCTTCTGACTCCAAAGGCTCTTAACTTCACCAGTCTTTAAGTCACCTTAAGCAGTGTGCCACGTTGTGTTTTATTATAACTTCAGAATTACAGATAATTACTAGCATAAAGTACCTAACGCAGAGCCTGGCACAGCGCAGAAATTCAATAAATGGTAATTTTTATTTCATGAGTATTCGTATTAATAAAACTTCTTACATAACTCAAAATCCTATCTGTATAATTAGACCAGCACAGGAAGTACTATTATCCACATTGCTTTTAACTGTAATAGACACTAAACCGTCTCAAAGCCGGGGATACTCTGGGTCAAAAGAGCACCTGATAGCAAGCAACACTAAATTCGTACACCGAGTACTACGTCTAACCACATAATTAAAATACAAAGAGCAGAGCTGCTTTCTGGAATTAGCCACTTTGACTTTCCTGCGGACTTCGCGCTCTCCAAAATTAAACCGAACACCCATTTCATGAAGCCTTGTTGGGGGGGGGGTCATGATTCAGGGGGCCGCAACACTTCCCGAGACGCTGACACCGAGGCACAGGGCACACCCTCAGGGTCACACACTGCAGCCCAACCACCACCCTTGCTCTCCAGCCCGAGGGGAGCTCAGAAGTGGCAGAGGCGCTTCGGGGCTTTAATGGCACCACTCAGCTGTAACCATTCTCCTACTCAACCACTCCCCCCAAGGCAGGCAGGGCGTTTCTAGAAAGTCCAGTTTCAGAGCGGAGCTGGGCAACTGGGACACAGTGCGGGGGCAAGCCGGGGAGCTGTGGCGCCAGAGGCGTCCAGCTAGCCTCTCGCAGGGCAAACAAAGCGGCTGGAAGTCAGAGCCCAGACAGGGTACCTTGCGTCCAGCGGCAGAAGATGGTGTCAGAGAGACCGGGGCTGCTTTTGGTGCCCCACACCAGCTCCATCAGCTCTTTAGTCAGTTCGGACATGATGGGGTACCGGCGAGCGGGTCTTCGCTTTCAGGACTCCTGCCCCGGAACATGGGGAAGGGGCGCCTGCAGAGACAGGAGATGCGGGACGGCGGTGGCGAAAGAGCTGGAAGGCTGGACGCGAGGAAGACGAAAGGAGACAGAGCTACTTGCAGTGACCGCGCCTGTCAAGCCAGCCCAGCGGCAGCAAGGAGTTTCCCGTACCGGAAGTGCCGAGCCACTTCCGTCTCCCCTTTCGCTACCGCCCCTCACGCCGGGAGGGCCCGGGAGTCACCTCCCCGGAAGCGGAAGTGGGGGGCAGGAAGCGCTTCGGAGCTCTCTGGAGTCTGCCAGCCTTCCGGAGCTCGCCCCCGGGCCTTCGGTGCGGTGTTGGTTTCTGAATAGGCAAGGCAGGCCCAGTTCCCTGGGCGGTGGCAAGTTTTTACCATCCAGGAACACCTCTCTCCGCGCGCTGCCCTAGTCTTAGCTGTGGGCTCTGAGGCCCAAGCTTTAGGGCCTGGAACATAGCCCGTTCTTTAAAATTTGTAATATTAATTACACTGAACTACAACTTTTAAGAGGATGGTTGAGTCTCAGGGAGGAAACGTCCATGTCTGTATGGAGAACCACCGATAATTTGAAGGCTATCAGCCTGTATGCCTCGATAAATCATATGAAGCCCAACCAACTATTATATACATAACCAAAGGGTGTGGTGTAATGTGCATTAGAAATGTCTGTACCGGGGGTAATGCAGAATTACAAAGCTGTTTATAGGGAAAACAGATTGAAAACAGCCTGTCTGGAGATGGTAGAGCATTTTCATCTTCACAGCATTACCCTCTCCAGAGGGTAGGGTGTGTGGACAACATCTGGACTGAAGTCCAGGTTTTAGTCATTGACAAGCATTCAGGTGAATTTAGTTTGTGTAAAACCTTGTATTTGTGCTGGTGAAAAAGAAGAGAGCATATTGGCTAACCTTTGAATTTACAACAAAAGGGCAAAATCTAATGGGTTCCTTACAGGTTGCAAGTAAGAGGCTTTGCTAATTTATACTTTATTTGACTTCAATAATCTTTGCTGTAGTTAAAAGAGGAATTTTCAAAGTGCCTGAACCGTACCGATAACCCTCCTAATTTTTATTCCCTTTGGAATTCTCTTTACCCCTATTTTTGCAAAAACAAATCTTACCTGTTGATGAAGACATAGTGTAAATGCCATTTTGTAATAAAGCTGGCTCCAGTCATTACAATTTGAAGTAAAAATTGTAGCATCTGAAATTTTCGTGATAACTTCTCTGTAACTTGCTTATGATAATTACCTTCATCCTGGTATTTGCAAAGAATTACTTACTTTCCTGAGATATAAATTTATGGAAGGACTTGTCTTATTCATAGTACTTAGTATGGCACATTGAACATTGGTGGATCAATAAGTATTAGTAGGAGGAGTGATGCTTGCCTTTACTGAATTTAAAAATTCATTATCTTGCAGGGGAAGTAGGGATCAGGGGAAGTAGCACTGACTGGTCCAGTTAAATATCTAATGTTTGCTTGGTTGTTTATAATTTATAGATTTGTTTCACTTCCTGAAAGACACAGAAGGGTCTGCGTTCATAGAGCATGTAAAAGGCAGACCTCTAAGTTCAGGGGTGTTTGCCACAATTGTTTTCTTTCCATTAATATAGTTATAGATTATAGATTATAGTTGTAGTTGTAGATTTGATTATGTATCTATAGATATGGGAAAAAGGCTAAACTTCCAAAATGTAGTTTTAAAAATAGAATATTTCTGATCTGTGATTTTTCTAAGTTTCCAGCTACAATAAGCTGGCAAAATCCTCAGTACATTGATATGTCCTTTCCACTTTTAGGTTATATTCTTTATTTGCAACGTTTAAAATTTTTTAATTAGGAAGTATTTTTAACAAGGAATATTTGATTAATGTTAAATTATTATGTTGCTTAATTCATTAGTTATAACATCTAAAATGTGAACTTGCTTAAAGATAATAGAAATGCAAATTAATATTTAAATTTTTCTTATTCACTATATATAAACATAATACATATTGAAAGTAGTCGAGTTTCTTGCATTTACAACTGGCACAGGACAATAATGCCTTTCTCTTACCAAAATAACTTGAAAATTATGTAAATTTACTTTGAAGTATTTATATTGCTCCATATTTTAGCACATTTTTTTTTCTTAGTACCATGGTTTTGATTGAAGTGATGTGTATCATTAAGATGTACACAGTTTGCATGAGTGATCTTTAGTCCTAAAAGAGAGTCCTAAAAAATCAGAAACTTTCTGTTCATGTGTAAATGTTATTAGTAGTATTTCCCTTTAATTCAGATTCAAGTCAATGCACAGCCGTAAAACTGGGCTGAGATTTCCATCATGATTAATTCCCTTGAGGCTTCTTTACTACTTCACAGCAACAGAATTAATTACTCTGTCAAATCCTAGCTCTGTGTTTAGCTTCCCATCTTTCCCAAAATTTCTTTGTCAAACAAAGAACAATGACTTCATTACCTGGTTTCCAGCAACTACTATGGAAAGAACAGTTCTCCAACCAGAAGCCCTCAAACACCCAATTCAGTGTGTTTACATTCCATTTACCTAAAAGAAATCGGATCTTTAAAAAACCTACCTTACAATATGATTAATACATTCTAAGGAAGTTACTCAAATGATCCTATACTCATTTACTAATGAAACTATTTTTTAATATGCTCTACATCTTCCAATAACAGTATAAATCTACCAAACAAATGAAATTCTTTCCTTTGCATTAGCCTGACCTCATCTCAGCAGGAAATTTTCCTACCAAGCATTTAAGCCAACCACTGTCATTCTCAATCAAATATGGCATAGTGCATAATTTCCCAAAGCATCTTCTACTAGAATTAATACATGCTGGAAAAGGGGTTCTATCATTAAATTCTGGGTTAAATAAAATAAAATAAAATAAAATAAAAATAAATTAAATTCTGGGTTAATTTGTTCACTGCAACTCTCTAAGAGAGGATTGTATTCAGGGTTCAAAGACATTTGAATGATTTTATTCACTGAGCTTCTCACATAATTTATGTTCTGCAGAAGACTGCTTGAGAATCACTGGTAGAATAGGCTTTTGATTGGAATGAGAAAACATGAATGTTACGATTATGAATATGATTAAGAGGTACAAACTTAAAAAAAGAAAATATGAGTGTTACTTCTTATGTGAGTACTAATTGTGACCTTGGATGAGCCACTTTAACTATACTGTGTTTTTTCATCTATAAATTAAAAGAACTACCTTTAGATTATCTCATGTTGTTCACTTCAGATCCTGTCTATTTCTATGATTTAAAAAATTGTCTGCTTAGAAATTAAGATATGTGGTAAAAATGAGAAGAAAAAAATGTTGAACATATAGAATAAACAAATAATTTAGCATTATTATTCACTAACACATTATTCTTCACTAACTACTAGAAGAGATTATTTGCCACCAAACACTTACTTGTACTAACCATTATGGACTGAGAAGATTAAGTCCCAAATTGTATGTTAATCCAAGACTGGCTATATTAAGTGGGTACAGAATATTTGCATACTTGGATAAGTCATAGGCACCTTGCACTTGGTATGTGTCAAATAAAACATCTTTTCCCATAAAACCTACTCCTCTTTCAATATTTCCTAATCAGTGAATAGTACCATCCTTTACAAACAAGCACATTTTTAGTGTTCTCAACTTTGATAAGATGAATAAAGAACTTCTTTGAGGCTCAGCTGCTACATTCATAAAGGAAGGTAATTAATAATAATTACATTATACAATGTTTATGAAATTTAACAGAAAACATTGTATGTAAAAGAAATACGTACCTGAAAAATACTAATCTCATGTTAGCTATGTTAATGGTCTGAACAAAGTAACATAGGAGCAAAGATGGAAGGTCAGTTATTTCTGCATTTGAACCAGATAGAACTCTGAATAGAGAAGAATGGGAGGATGTGCATTTTTGACATGAAATACTATTATGGCAGGAGTCTGGCATTTGTATCACTAGAAAGAGATGAGTCCGGAATGTCAGGTTAAGGAGGGTGTCATGGACTGAATTGTGTCCCCTCCGAATCCATATGTTGAAGCCCCTGATATAAGTATATTTAGAGACTGTTCTGTAAAAGAGGTGATTAAGCCAAATGAGGTTATAAAGATGGAGCCCTAACCCAATGGTGTCCTAATAAGAACAGGAAGACACCAGAAATCTCTCTGATTCCACATGCACATAGACAAGAGGCAATGTGAGAACACACTAAGAAGGTGGCTGTCTACAAGCCAGGAAGAGAGGCCTCACCATTAACTAACCCTGAAGGCACTTGGATCCTTGTACTTGCAGCCTCCAAAGTTGTGAGAAAATTAAGTTGTTACTTAAGTCACCCAATATTTGGTGTTTTGTTATGGCAGCCTGGACAGACTAATATAAAGGACCAGAATCTTAATAACATTGAATACTACCTTACATAGTTAAGCAGTTAATATTTATTGATCACATTTCATGCCAGTTACTGTCTAAGAAATTTCTATGTATTACAGTACAGTACTCACCACTCTGGAGAAAGTACTACAGTGATCTCTTAGGAGGATAAAAACTTTTCCCTGAGTCATGCAATACATGGAAAAACTAGGATGCACACCCAGATTTTTCTTTTTTTTTTTCAATTTAAGAAAACATATTTTTAAAAATTTAAAAAACATGTTTAATAAAAATAAGATATATGTGCTATTCACCATGACTCCTAAACTACATGGTGAAGGAACACGTATTATTAATATTATTTTTAAATGAAGACTTTTTAAAATTAATTTCTTTTCAGTGTAACAGATTTCATTGTTTATGCACGACACCCAGTGCTCCATGAAATACGTGCCCTCCATAATACCCACCACCAGGCTCACCCAACTTCCCACTCCCCTCCCCTTCAAAACCCTCAGATTGTTTTTCAGAGTCCATAGTCTCTCATGGTTCATCCCCCACTCCAATTCCCCTCAACTCCCTTCTCCTCTCCATCTCCCCATGTCCTCCGTGTTATTTCTTATGCTACACAAATAAGTGAAACCATATGATAATTGACTCTTTCTGCTTATTACACCCAGATTTTTCTGAGCCAGAAGCTGAATTGAAACAAAGTGCAGAACACAGGCAATTTGATTCCAGAGACTGTGGCCTTAATACTACTCA